GTGCACCTATGGATGAGGACAGTGGGTGGGGAGTGAGGGCTGAGGGTGGGGTGGGAACTGGGTGGAGGGGAGTTATGGTGGGAAAAAAGAGGAACAGATGTAATAATCTGAACAATAAAGATTTAATTAAAAAAATATCCAAGGATTTTTTTTTTTTTAGTATTGATTTCAGAGAGAAAGGTGGCAAGAGAGAAACATCAATGTAGTACTAGTAAGAGAGAAACATCGATCCTTTGCCTCCTGTATGGGTCCCAACCAGGATGGAGCCCACCACCTTTTGGTGTACAGGAAAACACTCCAACTAACTGAGTCCCCTGGCCAGGGCTGAAGTCCCCCTTGTAGAAAGCCCATGATGACCTAGATAACTGATCACTTGAGTCACCCTGCTTTTTTCTTCCTGCACTTTAACTTCTGCTCTTACGTTTTAAATTCACCAATAAGGTGTGAACCCATGAAACCCTATCTTTGACCCCAATAAATTCAAAACCTCTGGTTCCCATTCTTCCTGTGACCTAGTTCCAGGACCTGTAGTAAACTAGCTTTTTTCAAAACTCCCTGAGGGTGTTGCTGAAGTGCATCTTGCAATCATAATAAGGACAAGGCCACAACATTGGCTCTGCTCAGGGAAATATCTGTGGGGGCTGCCACCGCAGTATGGATCCAGGTGAGTGCCTCAGGCATTCCTAGCTGACAGCAGCACTATCATAGGCTGAGAACAACACAAAACACCTCCATAACCTTGATTCTTGAGCTCATGATCACATGTACAAAACTCAGAGAAAGTCTGGCATTGGGAGCTTTGCACCAACTCTGAGAGAACTGAAGAGAAGTAGTTAGCATTTTAACTGTGCTTCATTTTTGCCATGAAGCTAAGAATATTCATCAACTACACCGCACTCTCTGCACACCCCAACCCATTAAGTAAAGAGCAACCAAGAAGGAGAGAGGAAAAAAGGAAAGCAATCAACAGGGAAAGAAGAATTTGTGGTGGCAGAGCAATGGACAACGTTTCTTTTCAAGAGGCCTCTCTATCTGTAATCTCCATACATGACTGAGTCCTGAGATCAACAATCCGGGCCCACTGAGGTTACCATCCTCTCTGGTCTTGAGCTATTTTTATTCTCGATGCTCTAAAAGTTGAGAAGGTGTGAGTTTCATTATTAGCTAACCTCCAGAAAATGAGATCATTAGGGTGCCACGGACTTCACTGCACCTCACCAGCCTGCCTCTGTAGCAGGGGAAGGAACTCTGCTGAATTAATATTCACCTCAGAGCCCGGGATTCCTCTGGTAAAAAAACAACTATTGAAATTCGTGGAAGGGAACTGTGACAACCAGTGACTTTGGCAAGGCTGTGTCCTTTTCAGGATCATCCAGATTTCCCTAACTCAACCAGGTGCTTTTCTTTTTAAATACCATAATTCCACAGTCTTTCTAAAAAAAATGATAATTTTTGATCCTTATCATTTTTTCTGTTGCTCTAGTTTTGAAAGAAATACTTTTACAGAAAAACAATACCCAGATTTCAAACTCTGTGATCTATACCCCCAGAAGACAGAGAGATTCATGTTATCTAAATATCCAATTTTCTTATCTGCTGGAGAATACTTTGTATTTTACCAGTTTGTAGAATTTGAGGACTTTTACCAATAGCACTTTCCTCTGAAGGTATTTCAGGGTTTTTGCTGAGCTGTGGCTAATTCTACAGTGCTCCAAGTGATGACCCATAATTTTTAGGCCCCTCTCATTAGAGAAAGGAGAGTCAGACACCTTGCTAATACTAATCTCAGGCTGCAACCAAAATCAGAAGAAGGATTGAAAAAGTAATCTGAGCTTATGAAAAAATGGTTGTTGTTCTTTGATTGTAGGATCTACAACCTTATTTGATATTATTTTAGAAGTAAGTTTTCTATTTCTATCTAAATTCATTTCTTTGGGAGATGAAACTCCCTCATTATCATATTTCCTAAAACTGAGACTATATGGGCCTCTTAAGCATTGTCCCTACATTATTTCAGAAGCGATGGTAAAGAAATTCATTTTTATTGGCAATTTTAAGCTGTGCTTCATCTTGGCATAAATTTAAGAGTAACATACGTCAACCTGGCTTTTTCCCTTGCACGTCTCTAGCAGCTGGCACAGGCTGTTCTGGAAGGAGGGAGGAGGAAAGCTCTTCACCATGTGAGAGGAGTGTGGTGGGAGCATAATTTACAGAATAAGAGAACTGTGTTCTAAAGTCACTTGAACTTTCTGGACCTCAGTTGCCTGTATAACAGGTAAGAATGAATGGTCTTCATGGAGAATGAGGGGCAAAACAAGAGATTTTCTCAAACTCATGTAGTCACAATTTCCATTTTTACCGTAATTGTAACAAAGTTCAGATGATGTGAAGACAGATTTGTACAAATAGGCACAGATGAGTTAATAGGGAACATTCACATGTGCCTCGAAATGCAGTTATCAATATCTTTGCTCATTAGAGTTAATAACCAACACAAACATTATTTGGAGAATTAGTTATTATTAGCAGTGACAAAAAATAAGCATCTCATTATTGATAGAGGCTGGCACTGTCAGCCTGGGAATCTGACTGACTGCCTCAAAGCCAGCTCATAGATATTAGTTGGTAATAGTATGTGTGTGTTTTTTGTAAAAAGAAAAGTAGGAAACAAGGAAGGAAGGGGGAAAGGAAAGTATTTAGTTTATGTGTCATATGTAAAAAACAAATGTTATTTTTCAAAGAAAAGGATTATATTTTTGTTCTCCAGCTACAATATTATCCACTGTGATATAGTAACATTTGCCTTTGACAGCACAAAAGAACTCCTGGATAGAATCTCCTTCTTTGTAATTTTATTTTACAAGGTCCTGTGCGGAAACAGGCTCATTAGCAAGTAAGTACAGGGGTCAACGGTGAGGGGTCAAGGTGTTCCATGCCAGGGAGTCCATGGTACCTGCTGGAACTCTGTCAGTGTCCCCTCTAGCAGCAGGGTCAGAGTCCGCTGCTGATTTAAGGATTCCTCGTCCCTGCTCCATCTCACACTCAAGATGACGTCAACAGAGTGGGAAGTGGCAATAATAGGAAGGCTGGTTTAGGTGCCTTCTCTGGTTTGGTAGCCAGTATCAAAGGACCCCTGTGGGATCAGGCTTCATGAAAGAAAATAACACCATGAAGAAAGCAGAGCCATCTTAATCATTTCTAGATGGAGATTTCAAAAAAGGTTAAGAAACTATCCCTTCTGTCTGCCCCAGTTGTTCAGATGTGTCCTGAAAATATGTGCTGTGATCTTTAATTTTCTTGATCATAGTTTTCACTTACCAATGAATACTAAAAAAGTAGAAGACAGGCATAAATACTTATTCTATAGAATTTTGTATTCCAAATCATGTCCATCATGTAAGAGAAGTAAAATACCCATTTTCAGTAACCATTATTCAGCACCAGATCCCCTCCAGTTAGAGAAACAAATACTTATTTCAAATGTCTTTATGACTTAAGGCTTCAATAACAACTCATGAGTAGACCAAGGTTTGCTATTATTTAATCTTGGAAGAACACAGAAAGAAAAAGGAAGGGAATGTAGTGGGCAGTGTGGAATGTAGGCAGAATTCCTTTACGTAGCTGGCCACATGTGGTTTTAACAGATGAAGGGGAAACTGACTGGGGCTAAGGTTACATATTTCTGTTCAATAAGGGTATCCATGGTGGTAACTCTCATGGTGACGGTAGTCGTCCTGGTAACCATCCTGGTATCCTTGGTGGTAACTATGGTAACCGTAGCCTGCATACTCATCTTCCGGGCAGCGCATCCCCAGTGACTGCTGAATGGCCATTTCCTGTCTCCGGAGTTGCATCGAATCAATTAAATCATACACGATCACCATGGACCACATTGGGGAAGGATACCAGGATTTTACATTTCCATCTTTTCCAACTAGAAGCATGGAGAAGTATTCAGGGCTCACTTGAAAATAGTTACGTATGTCTTTCACCAAATGGGCTGGTACGTCTTCTCGCTCAACAACAGAGCTCCCTAGAATAGAATTAGAAAAATTATTAGTGGATTAAAGAGAGCACTCAGGAAAACAAAGTGAGAAGAAATCACAGTGAGAATGAAGAGGGGACCCATGATCTATTCTCTTTAGCTCAAGATTCAATTAAAGAAGTTTGCTGGGGTTTTTTCCTACTAAAAATTAAATGTCCCTGCTGTGCACATGATGTCCCCTTTACAGGAATGTTAAAAATATAAAACCAGTCTCTTAATTTAATCCTTGCAAGATCAATTTATTTAAGATTTGTGATTAACGAAGATTATATTGTTTGCATTTCTAAGTTTATTTCCAATTAGCTCAGTTAGTTCTTTGCAATTATAGTTTTTCTTTTGATGCTGTTGTCTGTATTTTTAAAAAGCTTATTTTATTGTCAAAGGTGAAAAACACCAATCATGTAAGCATTGGGTAAATGTATTTGAACTATTGTGATTGACACTGTCCAGCATTGTGCCTGGATTTCATACACATTTTCTCGTGTAAAGAGCATGATCTTGGAAGGAAGGACTGGATATGCCTTCTGAAATCTTTAGTCGCTAGTCATTTTCTTTCAGCTTCTGGGAGCCTTTTAGTATATGTCTTCATCTGTTGAAAGAGAATCAATAAGATATAACCTATGGGCCTCACAGTACCATTGGGAGGATTAAATGAGATAACATAGATGAAAATGCTTTGTAAACCAGTCAAATATTACTAGTTAATAAAGTAAATAGTTTTACTATCATTTATGAGTAATTTTACATTGAAAACAATGTTAGTTTTTTCACTCCACTTCCCCTTCTTCTACACACACACTGTGTGGGCACGCACGCGCACATACGCGTACACACACACACACACACACACACCCTTATGTGCACTGTTTGCATAAAATTCAATATAATTTAATTGTTATAAAAAAACAACACTATACCATTAATCGGGAATAGTTCTAAGACGCCCCCAATTTCCTCTCCAGTGCCTAAAAGCTTCAGAATGGTTATGTGGCGCAGACCTAAGAGAAAAAAGAAAGCCATAGAATTAGGGAAAAGGACTCTAAATCATCTTTTAATTCCAAACACTGGTGTCTGACCATTAAAATCTCTAAGTTTAAAAAGAATATAGAACATAACCTGATTAGGTAGAATAATCTATTTTTAAATTATTCCATAAGAAAATACTTAAATACTTCTACAATTGTAGATTTTTGAGAATTAACAGCATCAGATGTTGTTTGCTTTGGGGGGGTGTTGGTTTTTTTATATTAAAATAGAAGAATTTGCTCTAAAACTGTGACTCTGACTTTATTAAATGACAAAACGAAAATGAAGTCATCAGAACATTAAAATATCTAAGATAATCTAAACTGATTAGTGTTCTGAAAAAAAGTCACATAAACTTACATGGATTGCTTTCAGAAAAAAAAGACTGGAGACCTTATCCATTGTGATTGTTAAAGAAATAATTCTGGCTTCCCCGAATAAAGTTTGTGGCTTAAAAGGCAGGTTCGTATCACTTATTTAGAGGATTCAAAGGGTAGGTCACACTTAGGCAAGCACAGCCTGCTTCCCACCCTCAGCTAAAGTTTCAGGAAGGAGAGGTCATGCCTTGGCAGCTCACTGGAATTCTTTTGAAGATGAAGCACACATGGAGGGACTCGGGAGAAAGAAACAGGAGGGCCAGGCGGCTGCCAATTCATTCTCTCAAGATCTCATGGCTTAGACAAGATTCCAGCCTAGTCAGGGTAATAACCTGGGGCTAATAATATGAGTACTGTCGGTGTTTATTGTCCAGGGGAGAAAACTGAAAGCAGCTTTGGGAGGTCTCTTTTAAGAAGGAGCTTAAAGCAAAGTATTATTTCAAAAAAGTTTTTGTGGTCTTTACTCTCCTCAGAAAAGTAAAACATTCTGTTCTACGTGTTGTTGACTTGTGTTTCCAGAAGGGAAGATCATGAATTTATTCCTGAAACACATGAGTTGTTCACATTTCCTGTATATTGTAAACAAGAGTTTGCCTACAGTAATGTGACTTAGGCTCTATGTGCAGAGGTTAAAAACACCAGCCAGTTTGGCTCAGTGGATAGAGCATTGGCCTTCAGACTGAAGGGTCCTGGGTTCGATTTCATTCAAGGGCACGTACCTTGGTTGCAGGCTCCATCCCTGGCGCTACCTGGTCAGGGCGCATGCAGGAGGCAATCAATTGATTTATCTCTCACACATCAATGTTTCTCTCTCTCTCTTCTGCTCCCTTTCACTCTCTAAAAATCAATGGAAAATATCCTAGGGCCCTAACCAGTTAGGCTCAGTGGATAGAGCACCGGCCTGTGGACTGAAAGGTCCCAGGTTCGATTCAGGTCAAGGGCATGTGCTTTGGTTGCGGGCACATCCCTAGTAGGAGGTGTGCAGGAGGCATATATTTAAATATATATATATCCTAGGGTGGAGGATTAACAAAAAAACAAACAAACAAAACAAACAAACAAAAAAACCCATCACCTAATAGCTGCAGCAAAGATGTCTTTAGAAAATTAACAAGTCATGATTTTATTTATATCCTTATTGTGAAGGGTCATTAACTACTCTAGGAACTTCTGTTTTCTAGCACCAGTGGTAACTATAAATAATTTAAAATATGCTTAAGAATAGTGTCACAATCAAATCTTAAATATGTTGATATAAAGTCTTAAATTTTAACCATGATAATAGGAGCATAAATAAAAACTGAAATGTATTTATAGTTACTAGTTAATTTACAGTTAACTGGTACACAGCAAGGATCCAGGCTCTGTTAGTGCTTTATAAAATTCACCCCTGCCCCTTTAATAAATCAAGTACAGTTGTATAACAAATGATTTCCCTTCCTAACAGAAGACTAAAAATAATGCTGATTCCAATAATAATTTTTTTAAAACAGTGGCTCCTGCTACTTCCCCACACCCAGAACTCTCAAAAACTCTTCCTCTGCAGAGGTATATCTTAAATGAGCCTTCAGTTGTGATTTCCACTTTTGGAATTGCCATTACCTCCGTGGTTCTATGTACTATGCATTTTCCTTTCTAAATATCCACATTCAAAATGATATTAGCTGTATCAGATCACTAGAATAACAATGTTTGGTAAAACACACACATGCGCATTAATTTTCAAAACACTGGGCAATTCACTACAAAAAAAAAGTTCTCTATTACCTGCTTGTCTTAAAAATAAGGTTCTGTTTAACAGATCTCTTGGTGCCCTTTTAAAGGAATGGCAAATTAGTATGATGTGCTTCAATTAATACATTCATTCCCAACACCATTCCTGTTGTACAAAAGACATGGAATTTGTGAAGTATCCAGAATTACCTAAGCAATTGATGAGTATCATAACTTAGGTAAATGATGATAGATATGGTCTTGAGACATATATATGACATAATACAGATCACTGAAAGTAAAGCAGCAGGTATTTTCAAACACTTTAATGAAGAACCTGAGAGGAGAGAATATTGAGAGAGAAAAAATAGATCCCAGTTGACTAAGGCTCCAGTCTGAAAGCAACTTTATACTCAATATAACTGAGTAAGTGTCTGGGAATCTACAGTCTGGACTGGGGGACATTTGAATGAGCTAAGCTTCTATGTTTCATTTTGGAGTTGAGCAGGAAGAGAGTGGTGTGGGAAGGCAGAGATGACGAGGCTTCCCACTCACCAAAATTGCATGCCTGACCACTGAGGGCCGAGAGCTGCTGTGAATAGGCCCAGTCTTCATCATTAGGAGCAGAGATCACCAGCAACCGCCTCCTCCATCGGAATCTGGAAAAGAAGCAGGAGGCCACAATGACTGCTTCGAACAATAGAGGCTATAGTGTAAGGAAGCAGGGTCACTTTGGCTGTTGGTATTTTCCTATGCCCAGAATAAAAAGCACTGACTCAGAAACACCTCATAGCTCTTCAAAGCCATTAAACTGCATTTGCACATTCTTGCACTTTTTCTGTTGTAACTTCACAGTCTGCTTACTGTGGCATTTGCATGGTATGTCAGGCATGAGTTTGGCCACTATGTCTGATGAAGTCACTCAGGAAGAGACACAGCTCTCAGATGCAATGAGGACTGGCCAAAATTGTATGTCCTATTGTAGCAACAGAAATAAGGAATCTGATCTCATTTCTATGTGGAATCCAATGAACAAAATAAGCTGACAAATAAAATAGGACCAGTGGCATGGAAACTTGGAACAGACTGATGAATCTCAGAGGGAAGCAGGGAAGGGGAGCGGGGAGAGATTAGTCAAAGACCTTACATTGCATATATACATTACCCATGGACACAGAGAACAGGGTGATGAAGGATTAGGGTGGGGCGGGAACTGAGTAGAGGGGGGCAATGGGGGAAAATTGGGACATCTGTAATACTCTCAATAGTAACTATTTTTTTAGAAAGGAATCAGAAGGGGACTGAGGAAAATTCAAGTTCAAGTAGAGTTCCCTAGGGCTTGGAGCAGGTTAAGAAATAATTATATGAATGGGAAATAGAATAGGAAAAGAGAACTGAATTTTAAGTAGGTGACAGGAAGAAGGAAAATGGGGAAGTGGCTCAAAGGGTCAAGGAGGATTCCTGGCAAAACAAAGCTTTATTTACCTTCCTCAGTATCTAATGGTTTCTCCAGAAGCAAGCACAGTTCTAAAATGTACCCTATCCCATTAGTAAGAACCAACACTTATAAAATACCCCTATGAACTAGAATGGAACTTAACCTATAGCCATAGGATTTTAGAATATACTAGAGGCATGAAAATTAGTGCACTCGAGGGGTCCCTCAGCCTGGCCTGCAACCTCTTGCAGTCCGGGGCCCCTCAGGGGATGTTTGACTGACAGACAGACATACCTCTGGCAGCCCGGGAGCCCTTGGGGGATGTCCGACTAACAGCTTAGGCCCGCTTCCCCCAGGGAGTGGGCCTAAGCCATTAGTCAGACACCCTTAGTGCTGCAGCTGAGGCGGGAGAGGCTCCCGCCACCGCCGCTGCACTGGCCAGCCATGAGCCGGCTTTGACTTAGCGGCGCTCCCCCTGTGAAAGTGCACTGACCATGAAGGGGCAGCAACTGTGTTGAGCTTCTGCCCCCTGGTGGTCAGTGTGTGTTATAGCGACCAGTCATTCCTGGTCATTCTGCTGTTAGGGTCAATTTGCATATTACCCTTTTAGTATATAGGACTAGAGGCACGGTGCATGAAAATTCGTGCACTCAGGGGGGCGTCTCTCAGCCCAGCCTGCACGCTCTCACAATCTGGGACCCCTCAGGTAGGGTCCAGTCCCATCACAGCATGGCTCCAGTTCCCCGGAGTCTGCAGGTGGGGGGAGGGACCAAGATTCCCAGATCACAGCATAGCTCTGGCTCCCTAGAGCCTGCGGGTGGCGGAAGGGACCAAAAGGTCAATCCGGCCGAAACCGGTTTGGCTCAGTGGATAGAGCATCGGCCTGCGGACTGAAGGGTCCCAGGTTCGATTCTGGTCAAGGGCATGTACCTGGGTTGCGGGCACATCCCCCGTAGGAGATGTGCAGGAGGCAGCTGATCATTGGTTCTCTCTCATCGATGTTTCTAACTCTCTATCTCTCTCCCTTCCTCTCTGTAAAAAATCAATAAAATATATTTTAAAAAAAAGAAAAAGAGGTCAATCCGATCACAGCATGGCTCCGGTTCCCAGAGCCTGAGGACCGGGGGTAGGGAACAAGAGACCAGTCTGATGGCAGCATGGCTCTGGTTCCCCAGAGCCTGCGGGTGGGGGGAGGGACCCAGAGGCCAGTCTAATGGCAGCATGGCTACGTTCCCACAGCTCCCTCACACTGCCACACTGTGGGTGGCCAGGGCCCACAGCTCCCTCCTGCTTCCGCGCCACAAGCATCCTGGACCCAGGACTGACTCCCGCCGTGCCAGCCGGGACCCTAGTCTGGTGTTCAGTCGTCTGTCCAGATGTTTAGGTTGTGACAGATCCTGGCTCTTTATATATTATGATAGTAAACTTGTTTTTGCTATTATAGCTCCAACACAGTAGATAGTGGGAAAAGCCAGGAAACCTTTGTCACTGCTACTTTTGGGGTTCCTGAAGCACATCTCTCAATTCATCTGAGTCTCAGTTTTTCCTTATCTCTAGAATCAAAAATAGCATCTACTTCAAAGAGGTGTTATAAGAACTAAACCAGAGCTCAGGAATGTAAGTTGCCCATGTGATGACATGGATATAGATGGTGTCTTCACCTGCAGCTCCTATATGTCAAAGTGTGTCCATTAACAGGCCTTGGACATTGTCTATCACACTGCCATACGATAAGGATCTAACCCTTGTGTTTGTATCATTTTACAGCTCACTTGCATCTACACCATATGTGTTCCTCGTTAGTCAGTGAGCACACCATGTATTGTCTCCATTTTATAGATGACAAAATGAAGCTTAGAGAAGTGAAGTAACTTGCCTAGCTAGTAAATCTAAGAGGTGGTAGCAAAATACAGATTTATCTGGCTCCCAGGCCTTGGTATCCCTCACCTACCACCGTCAGTGATCCTGATGCTTGGCTGGTGCTGCCAGGGTCCCTGAGAGGGGAGGAGGGAGAGAGCGTGAGCAGAGCGTATGCAGCCAAGCGGCAACAGTACGGAGTTGTCTCAAATTCCGCCTTCACCGGAGAAGGGGTTTTGCTTTCTGCCTCCAGTGTAGGCAACTGTGGGCTGTGAGTGTACTCACGGAGCTGGAAGCCAGCTTATTTTATTCATTGCTTCTCTCCCTGTGCCCCTTCTAGCCTCAGAGTGAACATGAGAGTTTTCAACCCAAAGAAAATGGCCTCTTGGGGGAATAGTGGTTTGGGTGAATGAGAGAAAATGATAGTCTGATGAAATACAACCTCTGAATAGATGCCTGGAGCAAGGCTCGCCAAGAATTGCTTGCTGTGACATTACATTCGCTTCCTTTGCTTGTTTTTCTTCAAAGGGAAAGAAAAACTAAAATCTCCACTGAGGATAGGGAGATGAATGTGTTTGGCATGGAAGAGCAGAGAGGAGCATCTGAGACGGCCCAAGGTTTCCTGGGAAAAGGACCAGTGACTGCTGTCGGATCACAAACACGGTCTCCTGCACACTCCCTGCTTCCTTAGGAGACATGCCAGATCAGCGCTGCGCCCCGACCCCTCAGCCAGCATCCAAACCAGGCCAGCCACCCTGGCCTCACACAGAGCCTAAGGTGTCCTGCAGGGAGCTATTTTGGGTGAGGTATATTTTGACTTGTTTACCTGTGTGCACTGCTGTCGGCTGTCCTGATTGCAGAGGGATGGGGTCTGAGACTCCGTGTCCCAGACACACCAAGAGAAGGTCATTTCCCCTAAGGAATGATTTTTCTTCTCCCACAGCCCTTCACAGGAAGATAAAAGCCCCCAACTCGACACTGAAGGAAATAGCGCCCATAGGATGTAACAAAAGATGTGTGTGCGTGATCCAGATCCTTATTCTGGACAACTTGTTTTTTCTGTCACTTTAGCTTCTCAGTAAATAAAATTATATGAGCTATGGATGTGTTTGCTTCTCTTAACCAAAATTAGTGTGCATTTGCCTACTCTTTGGGGCTTCTGTGTCAGAGAAAAGTAATTATAGACTGAACAAAATTAGTGTCGCTAAAGGTTAGACTGGCTTAGAGTCTGGTCAGCTGAAACCAGGCTTTATAGACCCACCAACAACTCAGCAAATCTGAAGGAAAATTCCCATTTGGATACTGATTTATTTATATAACTTTTAGTTTAAAATTTTTTTTTTTCAGTTCTCTTCGCCTGGGTTTTAATACTGAGGTATTTGCTAAGTCTCCTTTTCTCACCTCTCCTCACCTCTCTCTTGATGACAAAATTCTCTTACTAGGAGTTAATTAACTGGTCCTAATACTACTAATAGCTTGCATTTATTGATTGTTCACTTTGTGCTAGATTCTGGGCCATCATTACCTTTAGTATTGATTTTACCTTTTATAACAACCTTAAGAATAGATACACTTATTACCCTCATTTTTAAATGAGAAAACTAAAACACAAGAGGTTAAATAATCAGCCCAAGATCACCCAACTAATAAGTGGAGAAACCAGAAATTAAACTCTGGGCTGTCTTTCTCATGCCTTTAAGTAATAGACTATTGGACTTTAATTTTTAAGACCAATGATAATGATCAGCACAGTGATTTCTAAGTTGTGACCACAGTCATGTACACCCATAGAATATTCAAATTATGATCATATATCATTCTGAATATCCATAAGAAATGTACGTTCCTGAAATAGTAATAAATATAAGAGCCCACAGGGGCTCTTACATTATAAAGAAAATATAATTACATACTGTAGGACCCCATCCAGCTCAAAAGACTTTAGATACAAAATGTATGTATAAGTCTTAAGAATCAAAGACAAAACTAATTCAAATAGGTGACCAATGTGGATGAGCATTGCAAGATTGTGAGTGAAAAAAATTGAGATAATGTCAGATTTCCTTTTCAGGTTTAAAACCCATTACATAGTGATTATAAAAAAAACATTCTGCCTGGGGATGGTAAGAAGAAGACCTCATGATATCTGCAGCTGATAGTGTCATGGCTGGCCCAAATCCTTGGTTATAAATAACATCTGTGATAACTGTCTGTTCTAGAGGTTGGGCAACCTGAGTTTACTAGGATGGTTCAGAAAGTATGCGTCTTTTAGTCCTGATTTAGAATTAAAAAGAGAATGTTTTCAAAGAATCAAAGTAATAAAATAATGTATATTTCTAAGAAGATCCTGGTTTTCTTTATATAATTTATGTTCTTGTAAAACTTAAGATAATTTGACTTAATAAAATGACATCCTTAAAATTCAAAAGTAGAATGTGTAATTGAGTAATAGTTGTAAATGTATGGTTTTAAGTGAAAATCTCACTAAGTGTACACAGTTATTGGAACATATGAGAGAACTTTAGATTCACTTTGTTTACAAGATTAACTTATTAAACTTATGGGTCATTTAAGTTCTCTGAAATTCTTTGTTTATTTCAAGTAATTAAAATAAATATAATAAATGTGGAATATCTGAAATAATGAAGTTGTTTAATAACTGAGTTTTTAAGCAAGGTCAAATATTATCAAAGCCCCTTAAAACTGTAGGTAAAATTTCCTAAGTTATAAATAGAACTAGATGCCCAATGCACGAAATTTGTACACAGGTAGAGTCCTAAGCCTGGCCAGTGATCAGGGCCAATCAGGACCTTCTGGCTGCCAGCTGGGGCCTTCCATGATCAGGGCCTTCTGGCTGCCAGCTGAGGCCTTCCATCATTCCACACCGCCCCCTGGTGGTCAGCACACGTCATAGTGAGTGATTGAACTCCCAGTCTCCCGGCCAAACTCCTGGTCTCCCGGTCGAACTCCCGAGGGGACAATTTGCATATTTGGCTTTTATATATATAGAATATAAGACTTAAAAGTCTAACTTAAATGTTTAAGGGAGAACTAAGATTAAAAGCAAACTTTTAAAGAATCTTTTCTACAAGGAAAGAAGGAAAGAAGGAAGGAGAAATGGAAAGAAAAGGAAAATATACTTTTTAAAAAAACTCCTTGAGAACAACCATAAGCTCTTATTCTTCTTCTTCTAAGTCACTGCCATCTACAGGGATGACCTGGGATCAGAAGTTGATGTTTTAGTGGCCCCAGGACTGAACAAGAAGCCATTTGCCTGTGGATTCCTAGAGCCTTTTCTCAGCCGAGAGAGTGGCATTAAGGCTGAATTGAGTGTCTGGTCCTGTGGAGGCATGCACTTGCCATCTCTATTCCACGTCCTTGCACTGCACTGAAAATCTGGGTGAAGGAAGAACCTCAGATTCCTTTTAGCTTTGAAATCCTGGGGTTTTAGGATGATCTTCTTTCACTTCAAACTCTGGGCCTCTGGGTTCAAGACTAAAAATCATTCATTTCATATTTCCAAAAGGACTATCGGATAAGAATATGGACTTTGGTAGCCAGGTTATCCCGGGGCCACGGGTCCTAGAGCTGACACTAGCTGAGTGATGAGAGAAAGTTACCTAATCTCCATGATGTTTAATCTGCAACATAACAATAGTTATAGTATATAGGTCCCTGGATCTTTGTGAAGACTAAACCCACAAAAGAAGGTGAAGTGCTTGACACAGAGGTGAGCATACAGGAAGTGATCACAGCAACCTTGGGATAGATGTAGGGCTACTTACTATCTTTATTCTCATTTGTCCCTGAGAGATTTTTAATTAAGAAACATAGGGGCAAAATAGCTAGTAAATTGCAGATCCAAAACTTAGATGAATGTTAAGTCCTATGCGCTTTACACTTCATCAGGTTATCTCCTAAGAGGCCCACGCTTCCTGAATCTAGAGGAAGTCAGATTATCATTTACACATCATAGAATTCTTGATTCTCTGACTTGCTGATGGAGAATGTGCTTTATAGATACAAGTTAGGAAGTTCTGCCTGGAGTGAAACACAGTTAACACCGAGCCTCCAAGCAAAGGCTTGCTCCATTTCAGGAGCCCCTCAGCCACACGATTCAGTTTGGGTGAGCCTACTTGTTGTAGGTGGAATTGGTGCAGCTTTGTACCTCCTAGGGCCCCAAAGGCCCTATAGAATTTTTATCCAACATGCAGGAAGGGATAGGGAAGGAACGACATGAAGAGATTTTTTTTTTACATTCTTTTCTGTGTGTACAGAAAAGAGCTTCCCTACAACAGTTTACAATAAACAGCCCTCCCCAGGGAACCAGGGAGCTGAGTCAAAAAGATTGCTCCTTCTGAGGTCCTGGTAGGGCTTTTGTTTTCTCTGCAGAATTGGAAGGAAGCAGAAAATCAAGCACAGTGTTCCAAATCCTGTTTGAAACTAGAAGGGGCCTAATAAATAAATACGTAAAATACAATTGTTGTATACAAAGCCCTCCAAATTCACTGACTGAATAAAGTAACCCTCACAGGGTAGAATTCTGTATTTTGTGCCCAAAAAAGGAGCAGAAAAGATTTATCCAAAGCCATTAAATCAACATTCAAGCTTGCAGCTGACCCCAGCCAGCCTTGTGACCAGAGCTACTTCCGACAAGGCAAAGACTAAGCCCAGTAGCCAGAGGGCTGGGAAGCAGACAGACCTTTCACCAGGGAAGGTCGCTCTCTGCACACGTCTGCTCTGTGCTTCCTGGGCGTTTTCATTAGCTCACCCAGAACACATTCCCGCCTGTCTCCTCGAAGACTCCAAAGGTGATGTACCTGGATAGGAAGTTCTCCAGTGACTGCTTCTTGTCTTCCTTGCAAACAATGCCCTCCTTCTTCTGTTTTTCCATGTCTTTGATTCGGGACTGGAAAGTATCGATCAGATCAAACACAGACTTCATTGCTATAGGCACCTCATAGTATTGCTGTTTAAGAAAGAATAGAAAGTATATAATGTATAAGTGTGTTTCTTTCCTCTGCTCAGAGTATAGGGATCCCAGGAGAACTCAAGGGAATTCTGAAAAAATCAGAGCCTGGAGGGCTCAGTGCCTTAGAAACTCTCTCCTGTAATAGTACCTCTGTTGATGTTATCAACTTCAGAATCCATGAGACAACCGCCGCTTACCTTTTATGAGGATTGCTTCTCAACTGCACTCCTTTTATTGGAAAGGGTCCATGCCTCCTTCACCACACATATCCTAAGTTCACTTCCCTACTTCTGGGACTAAACTGGTTCCTGTTCACTACACAACTGGCGAGGAAGTGAGAAATGCTATATCTAACGCAGGAATGGAATAACATGTTAGAATATTCTATCTGAGCAATAAGGGTAATTGTCTACCAGAAGTGGACCTGTTATTTGGCCATTAGGAATCTGCATAGACTCTTTATGATTCCCAGAGATTATTTTATTGAGTGACCATCACTTAAAATTAGGTCGTTTTCTTATGTATTCTCAGAAAAGAATTGGGATACAATTCAAGGATAATGAAATTAAATTTGCTGGATCATTCTTGTCTGGACTTACAACAGCAACCTAAGATGGATTTGGAGGCTGGCTGAGCATAAACAGCATACATTAAGGACATGGCCTGTAGCTACATAGGCTCTCAGTGGGAAATTAGGTCAACCAGAGGATGTGAAAGCTGGCAGAAACCTTAGGGATTATCTAAGATTAGAGGTCAGCTGCACAAGTACAAGAAGAATTAATGAAGGGAACTCTTTCTAGATCCAGAAAAATACTTCCGGTTGAATCATTTGTATGGATAGCCCAGGCAGACTTTTTCCTGATGATTTTCACATAAGCATGATATACTCTCAGTACACTCGAATGGCTAGAACAGTGGGCTCTGGAGCAAGTCTGTATAGATATGAAGTCCAATGCTAACTGGGTGACTTGTGCAAGATACTTAACCAACCTGGACCTCTGTTTATTCCTCTGTAAAATAAAAGTAATTCTTGTTTTTTATCTTAGATATGTAAGATAAAGGTTATCAATAGTTAAGGTGAGTGCCTGGCATAAGGAAAGCACTCAACAAAGTTAGCTATTTTTGTTATTTTTAAAAATGATTCTTCATAGTTCAGAACCTTTGTCCCCAAGCATATGAACAAAGTAGGTATAAAATCTGACTGTCTTGTCCATATTCGATCAGGAGTTAAACTTGTAGGTCCTTCCTAAGTAGACCTATGTCAAATCTGGTTGTCTTGAAGGCAGAGGCCAAATACTCTTTATCTTTATCCCCAGGGCCTGGCACACCATGGCTATTCAACAAGTGTCTAATGAATGCAAGACATTGATGTTACAGAAGAATTTAGTCTGAGTGAAATAAGTGGGGCATAGGGGGTCATCCAACCCAGTCTTTTTCAGAGACCACATTTCTGGACACAAATTCTATAGACCAACATGGAATATTTGGACCATATCACAATTTTCCCATTTATAAAATAACTAGAGGACCAGTGCACAAATTCATGCACCAGTGGGGTCCCTCAGCCTGGCCTGCGGGATCAGGCCAAAACCGGCTCTCTTGACATCCCCTGAGGAGTCCCGGCTTGTGACACGGTGCAGGCCAGGCCAAGGGACCCCACCAGTGCATTATTGGGGCTGGGGAGGGACTGCGGGAGGGCTCCAGGGTGTGTCCTGCCCATCTCGCTTAGTCCTGATCGGCCCAACTCCAGCAGCAAGCTCACCTACTGATTGGAGCATCTTCCTCCAGGTGGTCAGTGCACAGCATAGCAAGCGGTTGAGCAGCCTTAGCATATTATTAGCATATTATGCTTTGATTGGTTGAATGGCCCACTAGTCGACTGGACAATTAGCATATTAGGCTTTTATTATATAGGATTTGTGTTCACTCATATCTATTAGACTCAGTGACAAAAAAATTCAGAGTTGCTGTTGTAAGGAATGGCTCCACATTATCCAAATCAGGAACCCATACCTTGACTCTGAGGTCCACGTCTGTTAGCACCATGAAGAAGTCATCATAGGTCATTCCATACTCTCTCCTCAGCTCGCTGATGAGATGCTGGTCTACCAAGTCCTCATCATCCACCACTTGCATGGGTTTCTCATTATCTTAAAGCAAAGGAAATGTAAATAAATATGGTGTGACAAGATAGAAATCAATAGGAACAAATGGGTAGAAGCTCTGGGCCTCCATCCAGAGTTAATTAGAACAGCTTTCATTAGTTGCACATATTTGACTAACATTTGGTTTAAATAAAAGTTTACAAAGTGAATAAATAAATACAGAAATGAATGAATAAATAAATTCATTTTGAAAATCACTCTTCTAAAGATAACCAAGCTCCATCTCTGCCCACCTTGGTTAAAGTAAATCATTAGGAGCAAAATGAGAGACTGCTGAGCCATCCCTGCAAGAAGACTGCCACCTCACCCAGAATGAGTCATTACCCTAACTCACCAGGGAAGTAAACAAGGTACTTTTAAGTTTTATTTAATTTTAAAATTTATTTTAGTTTTAGCTATTTATTTAAGTCTAAAATCTGGGTCTGTTTCTCCCTCTTATTATAGAATCACTTTGGGAATCAGTGAACCATGTCATTGCGATAGAGAAAAAGGAAAAGTCCATGTTCAAACCTAGTATCAAGTTCATTTTGGCTCCAGAAAAAAGTCAAGCTATTCATAATCCAAATTTTGCAAGTGAATATAATTTTAAGAAGAGTGTTACTGAACTTATGGGAGTTTTAACCATTATCTATTTTTTTTCAAATATTAAGTCTTAAAAATAAATTATTATAATTCAGAATGGTTCCTGAAGGTGCCACTGGGTTAATAGGAAGTATGAACATGACAACTCCTATGTCTGGAAAGCCTTTTGAAAATGATAGGACAGCTTTATTTACTTCTTCTCTCCCATACAAGTCACAGTGTTTCCTTCAACTCTACTAGAATTTTTATCTGCAAAATAATCCCCTGTATTTTTTTAAAATGTAAAAAATTAAACTTAACAAATATGTGATTAATAGATATATTAGTGAAGAGAATCTATCAGTTATTATTAACATTGCTACCCAATGAATTGTAGTGCAGTAGAAACAACCATAATTTTGTAGATACTGAAATTATATAGCTTGAGTACAATTGACCATCACTCTTGTATTTATTTTTTTAAAGGGACAATTATAATTTAACTATTACTTTTGTTTATTTGATTAGTTTCATTGAAAGTATATAAACAAGAAACTTGATTTCTCCCAAGTAGATCAAAATGAGAGAGGAAATAATCTCTTTTCCTTCCCAAATCATAACAGTTCTTCATGGAGGTGGTTCAAAGGCATGGAACCTACATGAGGGCCAAGCACTGTCTACAAAATGAAAAACAATAGACCTCATACATATAAACTATTTTAGATGCACATTTTGCTCTCATTCATAAAACATAAATCAATGTAAAAGAATTGCTAGATTTATGTTATTGTTTTTTATTTATTATTGGTATACCTCATTGAGTAAAAAAACCTAGTTGCAGAATAAAATGTATAGTATGACTTTATTCTTCATTGAAAGGAAACAAGACAAAAGATAATACATCCACATGTGAATATGCACAGGAAAAGGTCTAGCTGGACATACAGCTGTTAACAATGGTTGTGAGGAGAAGACGAATTTGTCATCCCAAAATATGCCTTTTTTGGGATATTGACTATTTTAAGCTGGTTATTTTTAAGAAATGAGACTCAGGAAGAAGTTTTTACCTTCTCCCTGAAGAATTTAGACAGAGAGCCTGCTCCAGGAAGAGAGATATTATCATAGATAAATATAGTTTAATATAAACTAGGTGTGATGGAAATGAAGGAACCTAGTTAGGCCTGTTTGATCAGTCTTTTCTGGGTCCCATTGTTAAAATTGGCCCAACAAAAGTTTGTTTGTCAAAAGTTTGCTTTACCATCTTCATGTAAATTGCCTTCCTGCACTTTGAAGTCTCAAACCACACCTGCTCAATTTGTCCCTGGTTCCTGTATTCATATGAACCCTTGTATGTACATAAGTAATAAGTTTGGTCATTTTATCCTGTTAATCAGTCTCTAGTTACTTTGATTATCAGGACTTAAGAACTTAGAAGGATAGAAGAAAAATTATTTTTCTGCTCCTACAGTTGCCTCTGGAGAGTGGGGAGAGGGAGGGTAGAAACTTTCATTGTTTACTCTATGCATGTCTATATTATTTACATTTTAACATGGAACATATTTTACTTTGTGATTAGAAATAATTAATAACTAGAAAAATATCATTTAAAAACTGATTTTCAAAATGCCCTTAACAATTTCTTTTCTGATTCTAAGATTTTACAAACCAGATTTTATCTCGAACTTAGGAATTACTACTTTTAATTCCCAACACACATTCATTTTTGTTTTTGTTCATTAAACAAAATATTTGTCTCTAGTGTCCTGAACTGATTCTGTTTTGGGTGCTGGATTCAGAAATAAGTATTCTTGGACAGAGTTCAAGTTCCTAATCAGAATAAAAAGTAGACTATTAGCATTTACCTAACAGATAAAATCACAAAAACCATTGAGTGGCTGAGACAGAAGGAAGCTGGAGATTATAGCAGATTTTAAAAATGGTCCCAATTCTCCACCCCTCCCTGTACCTACTACACTCTGCCCAGTAACTGCAGCTCCCTGTTATGGTGTATGGGCTGAACTCTCCTGCTTTTTGATTTTGAACTCATCTGACTTGCTTTGTTAGCACAAGTAACACAAATAGAAGCTAGAAGTGAGTTTGCACATTTGGAATTGCTCTTGCCTCGACCATTGCCATGATTACATATCCACACCAGACTTCTAGAGAATAAGTCAAGTCAAGTTACTCTGGTCTCATCCCAGGAAGGGCTATCCCAGATCAGCTGGCATGACACCTAACCTTTATGCAAGCCCAGTCAAGATCAGCAGAACCACCTAACCAACTTGTAGCTGACTGAAAATACATAAGCAAGCCTAGCCAAGCCAAGCCCAGGTCAGCTAAACCCTACAAACTTGTAACTAAATGAATATTTAATGGTGTATGCCAGTGAGGTGTGTGGGTCTTTATTACGTAGCCTTATTGTGGCACTAGATAACTGATACGGACATTTTCAACCCAGACACATTATTGAGGTTGAAACTAAGAAACAGTATGTAGTGCATGCTGTAGTGTGCAGTCCAGATCCTACTTTCAGACTAAGTCTGCTGTGAATGTTAATAGCTGAGTCCTTCTAAAAGTGCTCGTCTTAAAAAATAGCTGCCTTGCTCTAAGTTACACCCATACTA